CTACTATTTAGTAGTAGTAGTAGTTGGTGAGCTAGCTATATTATGTGGATGGTGATCATTTTGATCACCTGAATTTGATTTGAATATTTTATTTTATTTTTTGTCCATGGATTTGAATGGTTTCTGTTGGAAATTTATGTGCTTGAATTACAGGTAAGTGGTTTAGAAACGAGATACAATAGAATCATGTTATGAAAGTTTTCATTACAAGCACAGGCTAGACCAAGTCATCTATCTCTAGGGACTTCCACATGTTAACTGGCTCTAATTTAGAGTGGCATTTGTTAGACTGTCATGAAAATTGAAAATTCTTCCAATATATTTCAATATGTATCACAAAATCTAAGGTAGCATATAAATGTAGGCAATATCACATAATCTTTACACCCTAATGTAGATAAACATATTTATGTCAATAACAGGCCAAATAAACAGACATTCATCACAACCTCATGCTGTAATATGTGTATGCATATCTTCCCCCCTATATACAATAGCCTACGCCTAATGGGGTATAACTTCTTGTTTCTACAAAGATGGTCACATTAATTATGTTAAGCCCTCCGATTAAAATCCTGAGAACTATTCCGGGCCTGCCCACCAGGCCTAGGGTTATTCGGGCTGGAATTTGGCATTTGAAACTGCTGTTGTTGGTGTTGATTCGAAAAGAAATGTACTGACGGAGAGAATTGGGAAGTTGAGCCCACATTTCCATTGGGAACACCGGGAGCTTGGCCAGCCGCAATCTTGAGCCACTGTACTTCGTTCTTCAATGCCTCATTTAGGGCTAGAAACAAAAAAACAAAAAAAAAACATTCATATTGATTATTGTATCATGATTTGTTTTAAGATTATTTGTCGACCATTAAGGTTTTTGAAAACTACAAATACACCGTTAAGGTTTTCATATCTATCATAACAGTGTCACTTCTCATATTGGTTGCAATTTGTAGAAGAGAAAAATATGTGGATGAGGTACTAGTAGCATTGAAATATGATTGGTTTTTTTTTTGTAATTGGTTAAATTTCAAGGGTTATCAAATCAACTCAGAAAAAAATTGAGCGAATCACGCACCATCTCTAAGGTGTGCTTGCTGCTCCATAGCCTGTAACTTGAGCTTAAGTTCCTTGTTCTCGGATGTCAAGCCATTAGTATCCCTCTGAAAAAATATGACATGTTACAAAATCTGTAGCGATCACTTTTTTTCGAAAGTAGTAAATTCCAATTTGTACAACTCATGACTGTTGATCGCCGAAAATAAAACAACTTTGGTCTTTGACTAAGACTAATTCAATTGTCTATCTAAAATAATATAAGTTGATTGTGAAATTGAGACAATATCTCACGCATTTTAACAGGTACAGCTAACCAAAAGTTCCTTGCCCATATGTGCTCTGAGATGGTATTTATAAAAATTAGTTAAAGCCCCTTTTATGCATTTTTTGCCCAGAAATTGGCATTTGAAGCTTCAACACTTCACCAATTTAAAATGCAAAGAAAGAAGAAGCTATTATTCCCAAAGAAAAATCATTCACACTACGAAGCCCTCAAAAAAAATGTCACAGTCCCTGTTCGATCACAATATGCTACATGTTTTTGGCACTCAACTCTCCCGGTCAACTCAGTACCATAAAAGAAAAGCAGAAAATAAAGGTAACTCTGAGTTTAATCCCAAACATCACTAATCATAACAAAGATCCATATCGTTATCTTGTCTACAAGAAAAGCACGAACATTTATGGGGGATTTCTAAAGAAGTCGCCCCAGCTCAATGTAGTCGACTTTCTCCAGTAGTTCCTCATTGGGACATTTTCTGTATGAAATTTCCACTACCGAGAAAATATCCTACATTTTCTTTTGTTTAATGCTACGTATGTATCATATAGGTTCAAAAGTTTTCACATCATATATTCTCAATATCATCTACAAAGCCCCCAATTGATTTTCAAGTGAAACTGTTTAAACAGTTGAGCTACACACTCTCTAGAACATAAATCGTCACGCAAGTATATAAAATGCGAGTAATGAGTGTACCTGCAACACTGTAATTTGAGCCGAGAGCGTGGTTGCTTCATTCTGCAAAGTCTGAACTTTCCGCTCGAGCTCGCTCGTGTATCGTGTTTTTCTCTCTTTCGAACGTGCAGCCGATTGTCTGTTTGCAAGTATCCTACAAAGAAAGTAATGCTACACGTATAAAGTGCAATACTACCGAAAAATTCGGTAAAACTTCAACTAATCAACAAACACACAAAGATATACATCGATTTGGATATACGACTTTGTAGTTCCCCGGTGAACATGTTGCGTTTTCTCAATACAAATATTGAAATTAGACCATTCAATGATGACTCGAAAATCGTTTGTGACAATTCTAGCATAAAACGGACCTATCTTGACCCGAGTACATTTGGAAGTATAGGTTACAATAGCTNAACCTACAGATATGTTGCATATAAACATTTCTTCAACTAATTAACTTCTCTCTCTATCCTTGTGGAGTAGTTCAATTGCAGGATCAAATAATTACAGCAAAAAACTTAATACACATACTGCAAGCTAAAAAAACTGTAACTCAAGCCACATCTAAGCAAAAATAAGAAAAAGAAAAGCAGAACATATAAAGAAACCCGCAGAAGAATTCTATAAGAACCTGGGGAATTTTCAGAATCCCATTTCAACCATAATAATTATTATTAAACCCGAAAAAATAGTAAAAACTACAACAACAAAAAGGAAAAAAAAAAAAAATCAAAGCAATGATAAAGGTCAGACCTTTTGGCTCTCTTGGGGTCAATCAGAGCAAGCTCCGCAAGTCTATCAGCCGCCATAGCCTTCTTCGCACTGGATTCCGCCTCGTACGAATTACCGCTGGAGTTCTCATCCATGGAGCTGCTCCGCTTGTGCCTCGGCCCAGAAGACGTCGCCGCCACCGCAACTGGTGGCGGGCCGCCGTCCAACCCGAGCCCGTCGAAGAAATCCGCATCCACCGACAGGCTCCTCAAATGGGCCGCCACGGGCCTGACCTCTCCGGCCTTGCCGTGCTGGGCCGGAGGCGGCGTCGGCGTCGGCGGCGGAGGCCCGCCGGGGAGGAGGCTGGGGGCGGCCTCGGAGAAGTCGAGGTTTAAGTCGGCCAGGACTCCGTCGAGGAGCATGTCTTCAAGGTCGGGAAAGCGGAAGAAGGTCTCGGACTGGGCCCGGCGGTGGTGGGCCCTCCGGGTCGGTGTGTCGGGCATCTGGTCCAAATCCGCCCTGCCCAGAACGTACGGGCCCGTCGGTGCAGGCTTTCCGGCGAATTTTGGGTCCATTTATCTCATCAATTGAGGAGAAAGTGGTGAGACTGGTAAAAATAAATTGAGCAGGAACAATTGGTGCCTCGTTGGTGGTGCTTTTTCTTGTTTGATTGATTGAAAAGATGAGTTGAAAAAAGATTTGGGGGTGGAATCAGAATTTCGGCTAAGTTTGAGGACCTTTAAGGCCCATTCTTACCGGTTCCCAGGGTGGACGTGGCGGCTGGCAACTCGATGGAGGAAAAATTGGGCAGCTCTTGTCCTGAGATATTTTTCTCAAAATATTTGTAGCGTTTTTAAATGTGTTGTAACGTGTTGTTCAACAACTTCAATTTTATTTTTTTTTAATCTCAATCCCGTAATAAAAGGGTTTTTTTTTTTTTTTT